GCAGTTGAAATTCTAGAGTTTATACCCTTTTATTATTATTATACAGACTTCATGCACTTTATTCTCATTCAAAAGGAAAGGCATAGCCCCTATGCAAGTTTGTATCCACACAAGCTTGTATAAACCTTTTTATTTTTAATAATGATAACAGTTTCAGTTTTAATGATGTTTTGACCTTCTCAGATACATAACAAGTTCCAGTATAACTTCGTTTTGTTTACCTCTAGCTGCTAACAAGTCCTGTGCTGTGATGTCTACCCACATAGTTGCCTGTTTATTGCTCTACAGACATAGACAGGTAAGGCTGCTCACACACCGAGCAGCACTTTGTATGCCCTTAATCAAGAACTATGCACTTTGCTACTATATGATACTTGAAGATGCATCTTTACTGATGAAATAATAATAATGAGATTTTGGGGCTTTTTTTTAGTTTTTTTAAAAAATAAGACTACATGATCTTAATTCTTTGCATTATGATTCCTTTTGGATCCCAGATATTTAAGCATATATGCTATTGGATATGTTAGCAGCTCTTCCATTACTTTGCAAATGAGTTTTGTTGATCTTTAATACTATAATATTACTCCATGATGGCAGAAAGATGCCAACATTTAATTGAATTTCTGAATATGTAACTTGGAGGAATGGGTTTTGTGAGGATATTCTCAACCATTCCTGTCAGTTCACTCTTCCAATTCTGTAAAATGACTGTAGGAAAGATTAATTTTACTATGTGGTCTGAAGCCATCTTGGCAAAAACAAACAAGCAAACAAAAACAAATACTTGAGGAAAAGCTCTTCCACATGTCTCCAGCTAATTGAACAAACATTCTACTAGTTATTCTTGTATCCATATTCTTAGATAATCAATAATAATAGTTTATAGTGGAGCTAATGAAAATATGAGATCTCTAGTGTATTCTAAACAAACATTCAGGTGTTTGCAGCTTGTGAAATCAGCCCTCTGTGATTTTAAGCTATAATCTCATAGGCTATTTTGGCAAAAATTACATGAAAACAAGTTTTTCTAATAAGGTAGGTTTTGCTTTGGATTATTTAAAAAAAAATAGTTCATTGATGTATTTCTTAGGTGCATGCTTGTGTGGCTTATGGATAAGAACAGAGGTACTTTTTTTGTGCAAAAATAATTTTTTATCCTGCTGTTCTATTTTCATTTCTAGGGAACTGATCTCTCCAGGTTGGTAGAAGATTTCTTCTCCATGAAGGAGGAGGTCTTGGCCCGCGACTTTGACTTAGGATTTTCAGGGAACTCGGATGATGTTGTCATGCATGCCGTGCACTTGCTGGGAAACTGTGTAAATATCACAAACACTAGCCGAAACAACGAGTTCTTCATCACTCCCAGCACAGGGATACCAGCTGTCTTTGAACTCAACTTCTACAGCAATGGAGTAGTTCATGTATTCATTAAAGAGGCCATTATTGGTATGTGTTGGGATTTACCAAGGAGTTGTATTTCCTGTAACTCTTACACACTACGACATAATCTATTTTATTAATACTCTCTTCTTGATTTATACATTACTGTAATTCATTTTGTTAGGAATGTTTTGCATAGGTCAGATCATAGAATCATAGAATGTTTAAGTTTGGAAGGGACCTCTAGAGGTCATCTAGTCCAACCCCCCCTGCACACACAGGGTCACCTAGAGCACGTGGCACAGGACTGCGTCCAAGCGGGTTTGGAAGATCTCCAGAGAAGGAGACTCCACAGCCTCTCTGGGCAGCCTGTTCCAGTGACTTTCTGGTATCAGAATAAATTTTATCAATTTTGATTTGCTTATTTGCTCAAACTGAGCAGCGTAATGAAGTGAACATTACTTTTAACTGACCATTGTGTTAGAAAGGTATAATAGGATGTGGATGCTAAACTTCACTCATACTGTATCAGTTGTCCATTTTTCTTTAAACACAAATAAAACACCCCTTTTTTCTTGGTAACAGCACTGTTTTCTTCCTGACAGACATTGTATAATGTGAAAACTGAAATTTTTCCCCCATTGGGGGCAGAGTATTGTAAAACAGGCTCGCTCTGCTCTTTAGAGGTGTCCATCACCCGGCTTGCGGATCTCTTAGAAGTTGATAAAGATGAAGCATTAACAGAGTCAGATGGATATTGTACAACAAAACTGATGTATGAAGGTAAGAACGTTTTTCTTGATATTCCTCATCAAAATGTTGACAAAATTCTCCTGTTTTTTGTCTTTATAATGAGTTCAGACAGACCTTCCAGGGCAATTGCCTTGTATTTTGTATGCCACTGCACAGTAAAGCAGTTTACATTTCACTAGTCTCATAATATGTATATACATATATATTTTTTCTTCACTAATCTTTCCTAAAGAAATACAAATACTCTTTGGGCTGGATAGATGACTTCTTGAGACTGAAATATTAATCCCTTTCAAGTAGAGCTGGTTTCTTCCTTTGAACAGCTGTTCACTTACAAAAGTTGGTGTAGTTTCTGTATATTGTGAAGATACCGATTAAAGAATGTTCTAAAACTGTACTGAGTCCCCATTTTAGACAGAAAATATTGTAAGAATATTTTTTTTCTATTCCTGCAGTTGTTGACAACAGCAGTAACTGGGCAGTTTGTGGGAAAAGTTCTGGAGTGATATCTATGCCCGTAGCAGCTCGAGCAACGTTTACATAATGGCTCAGGAGCCAGTGTGCCACACCTAATACTTAGTAGCAACATTACACGTCCTGACTTTGCTTTTTTGTTTTATTGCAACATGCTGAGAACTGATGATATCTCAGTTTTAAAGACACTCTGCATACTTAAAATTATAAGTGCTTGCTTAAAAGGACTTATGCATGTGTGTTTGTTTATACGTGTGTGTATGTGTGTGTATATATATACATGAATATATATAAACGTTTCTCCTGGATCGGAAACCAGAGAGCTTAAAATGGGTACAAATTTGGTACATTTCTTTCTTTTTGTGTAGCCTTGCCAGGTGATATATCAAGTTTGCCATGAATCGGTGGAAAGGCTAATACAATATGGGATTCTTCTAGTGGCCGAGGTAAGGTGATAAAACCACAGAACTTGTTTGTTTTTTTATACTTTACTCATAGATAGATCATGCTTGTGACTTGCTTTAAATATATGTTATTACTGAAAGCTTGTAACATCTTAATATATCTAGGACAGATAATACTGTTTGTCTGTTTCTGTCTATTATAAGCCTGAGACATTAGACTATAAACATATTGTAATGCTATGAAGGATTGTGTGTGTAATATCACTACACCATTAAACACGACACATTTTTATACTATCTTATAAAATGAGGAATAATTTTATTATTGGAAGTCTTTCAAACTGTGCTAGAGATAGCTGGATATTTATCTTAAGCACCGACATGCTGTCATGAATTGGAATGCAATGATTTAAAAAAAAAATTCAAAAATGCTTACAATTCAAAGGATTTAGGCAAAAAAACCCGCATGTCCTATTTCCAAGAAAGGAAATATAGGTGCGAACAGTAGCAAATGTGTGTCTCTGCCTCCTCAAGCATGTAACCTGCCTTACAAAGTTTTCTGAGCTCCAGTACTGAGTCTGTCCTTTGCTCTTTATAGCTGGGGATGTAGACACATCGTAGGCTTCATATAAAATCTTGTCTGCTTTGTCCAGTACACACCACTCGTGTAACACTTGAATGCTTAAGAAGGGAGATAGCCCAACAGTAAATTTCCGTAGCTCAAAACCCCCCCTTTTTTTTTAACCTCCTCATGTCTTGTAAAACATATTCAGATTTTTTTTTTTTTTATAATGAGCATATAAAATACTGTCAGCAGTGGTTGTTTCATGACTTTGGACAGTTTGGAAGTGTTCGTGGGGTTCTTATAGTCTGTTCCCTAGGAAAGGTAGCTTGCTACTGCATCCTCTCTCAGTATACTGAGATATAACACAACCCACTGATAAATTTTCTGTTAGAGTTAAATAGATCACTCTCTGCTTGTTTTTTTGGTTCTTTTCCTGTGAGTCTAGTGCCTGTTCCTAAAACTAAGAAACAATCTTAACATAGTGTTCTCTTTAGTATTTTTTAACTTATTTTGTGATCTTTTCTTCATTTCAAGTAAAAAACTTGATCATACTGTAGATTTGAAAGGATGTTAGGCTTCATTTGCTAGAGGCATTTGTCATGTATATTATGAAGGTAATTATGAAGTCTCTATTTATTTTCTTGCTGACTTCATATTTCTAAATGGAATAATCATAGGGGGTCTTTTCTTACCAACTTAGCATCTTCAGTAGATTATTTTATTCTGTCCTTGTGGAGGACAACTGCTTGGGACTGTCGTTTATTCAGATGTATTTCTTAGTATACCAAATAGTTCTTACTGATAGGGATTTCTGTGCTGTTTAATCCTGTCAATCTCTAGCATAGCCAGGAAACACTGTCAGTACCAGGAAATTTTTATCTGTTCTTTGATTCTCTATTTTTAGATACCTTCATTTCATGCAACTGGAGCTCATATCTGGGTTGCCAATGATTCCACATAATGTACAGTCAATGATTTGTACACTCAAGCATTTTCTTGCCTGTTTATTCTCAGCTTTAGCTTACAGTCACCCATTTTCTTGTCCCAAGCCAGTATAATGCATTCAACGTAAGTGAGGCTAGAAATAGATGAAAACCAAGTCAGGTGATGCTGTAAAATAAAACTATTTGTAGCACTGATTTAGGTTCTTACCTTTTTGCCACCCTGTCTTTCAAATTTAAGCAGGATGATCAGGAGGATGTTAGCCCCAGTCTTACAGAGCAGCAGTGGGATAAAAAACTCCCTGAACCTTTGTCTTGGAGAAGTGATGAGGAAGATGAAGATAGTGATTTTGGAGAGGAGCAGAGAGATTGCTACCTGAAGGTAATGTTATCCTAACGTTGATAATTTTGAAGCCTATTATGAAAGATTAAAACTTCCTCATGATTCCAGTAAGAGCTCTAATACAACCCTTCTCTGTGTGCCGATTCTCAGCATTAGTTCGTTGCTACAATCAGTAAAATATCTTTCTCTTACCCATGGAGAAAAAAATGAAGAAAAATATAATCATAAATAATCTTCTAAGGAGATGGAAGGGCTAGGTCTTTTCTTTTATACTAACAACATATGTTCTTAAAAGGGACACATATTACTGGTATTTATTTTCAGACTCGATTTTCCTTCTTAGTTTGCTCGTGTTGATTTTAGTTTTCAGGTGGGATTCATGCAAAAACTTCAGGATATCATATTAACACTAGGAAAATATGCCCATCTCTATGATTGAACAGCAACATTTCTCGTGACTGAAGAAGAGTATAACATGTTTAGTTCTATCTTAAGAAAGTAGCTATGAAACTATTAATTTGGAGAGAAAAAAATAGTGTAGGTGTGTGATATGCGGTGTTTTTTCATCATGGTAAAACCACTTTTTTGCCGTGTTTTCATAATGTGTTGTGCCCCTGTAATCCCTGTAGCACTAGGAATTATTTTGTCAGTTGTTTTGCCATATACTGTGTTGCAGGTCACTTTTCATTTCCCCTCTTCTCTGTCATTTACTGTCTTGTTGCCCTTCCCTAGGTGAGCCAGTCTCAGGAGCACCAGCAGTACATCACTTTCCTGCAGAGGTTATTGGGACCTTTACTGGAGGCATATAGCTCTGCTGTCATCTTCGTACACAATTTTAGTGGTCCTGTTTCTGAGTCTGAATTTGTTCAGAAGTTGCACAGGCACTTAATAAGCAGGACAGAGAAAAACGTTGCTGTGTACGGTACGTGAGACAACTTGTGTCTGAAGTGTTTTGTTCCTTCTGTCCCTCATGGCATCAAGGTAACCCAAATTCAGTTGCAGTTTGTTTATCTCTCTGTTGTTTTCTTTGCAGCTGAGAGTGCTACCTACAGTCATGTGAAAAATGCAGTGAAAGTCTTTAAGGAAATTGGAGTAAGTATGCTGTGATCAAAGTCAGAGACTGTTAAGTTTCATTTTACGACTAAGCACTATTTTGACAATTCATGAATCCTGTGCGACATCAGCTTAAAGTCTATGAATAGACCTGTGCAAATGTCTTGTGGACTTTGAGCATTTTGCTTTTTTTAAGGTTCAGATGAACACAGAGTGCAGAACAAGGCATTTCGTGTGCTTGGGAAAATCTGTTTAGAGAATGACTAGGTATCCAGGCATGTTCATTCATAGCAGCTGAAGTTTCTGTGCTCAACTGCATGTTCCGATCATTCTTGGGGGTCTGACAGTGTCAGAAAGCTGGCAGCAGCCTTTGTTCTTGCACAGCTGTACAAAAGTGTAAAGGTCTGCTTAAAACTCCAAGAAATACTAGTTATTGTATTTTGGCTTAAGAATGCTCAGTGTTCCAGGAGAGTCATTCTAATATAGCTCCCATGTCCAGCATGAGGATAAAGGTGTACTTTAAAATAATGTTTGGCATTTTTCCACTACGTTTTGCATTTCAAGTTGCAAATCTAGATTTTGCAAAAGAAGACTTTTCATCAGGATGATGTGGTTTCCTGAATACCAGACAGGATTTAGCATTGCAATTTGGAAAGCATCAGCATTTAGGCAAAGAAATATGCTAGATAAGGGATATGAAGTGTTTGTCCTTTTTTTCTAATATTTTAAAAGGGCTAGCAAAGCAAAGGGAGCTTCCTGTAGACAGCAAGAGCTCTGAAGAAAGCATTTATCAAACCCATCAGCTTAATTCTAGCCCACACTGCTGTAGAACCAGACAGCATCTGCTTTTGCATCTGCTCAGAGGATAGCATTTGAAGTCTTGTTTTCAATGTACTTGAACTTTCAATTATGATTTTTTTTTGGTGCATGTTTTGTCCCTCCCTGTTGTTAGAAGGTGTCTGTTTACCATACACTGTGCTTATTGCTTAGTTTCTCTTCTTTTCATGCAACTTAAATAGTTTGAATAACGAGTGAATTTTATTTGTCATCCAAGCCTTCAGGGAAAGAAAAAGTCTTGTAAACGAGGGCAAATTTAGCACAGACCATAAACTGTTAATCACAGGAGAAACGAGGGCAAATTTAGTACAGACCATAAACTGTTAATCACAGGAGAAGAGGAGACTCCTTGAGCATGTTGGTAATTGTGTATTCACCCTGTCCTCTAGGTTTTCAGTCAGACAGAACAAAGGACAGACACTATTTTGGAACTAAGCACTACGTTCCTACCTCAACGCAACAGGCAAAAACTACTGGAATTCATCATGAGCTTCATGGTATTATAGAGCATGCATAGCACCTCTGACCAGGGACATGAAGATGGGTTTGAGGCTCTGTCAAAGCCTGGCACATTGCTAGTCCTTCAGAGTGTAAGGTGCCCCTGTTTGGGTAAGGCCTATTCTGACTTGAACCACTGGAAGACAAGTGCCTTCTTACATATGCATTTATGGGTTTCTTACAATCCCAGTCCTGTTGTAATGCAGTGATACTCAGATGACACTGGATGTAAATGATCAGACATGTTGCAAAAAAATAGACAATTAGAATTAGGTTTAAAATGAAGAGTGACGTTTTATCAGTGTTATGTTTTAAGTAAATAAACTTTTAAGACTGTAACAGATGCACAAATACAGATATTTGTGCTCTGCAGCTAAACCCGACACCTCGAGCTCATGGCATAAACAGCTTCCAATCCAGTTTTATTGTTTTAAATAAACGGTTTATAAAATTTTGTTTAGACGGGATATATACTTTTGGATAAAGCCATAGCTTTTCATAAATGTTAACATAAATGCCAAAATTCTAATGACAGTAACACTTACAAACATCTGAGGATAACGGCCATGTAGCAGGTGATTGTGAGAGCTGATGTCAGCAGACCCACCTTGCACTGTTAAAGCTGTGTAGTGCAGTGGTAAATTGCACTAATCACTGCTTTCATGAAGAATGTGATAGTAGCAGTTTTGTTTTTGTTACGGCATCTGTCCTTCAGCCAGATGAAAGTCAGGAGATGGTTGCTTAAATGTGAATACCTTGTAAAATCTTAGATTATTATTTAATTGAAGAAAAATATTAAGTCTTTTAATTAATAGGGTTTTGGGGCTTTTTTTAAGCAGAGTAAAATCTTGATTTGGTGAAATAATTTTATGTTTGGCCCTAAAAATTTCAGCAATAACTTTTGCAACTCTTTGGAAAAGAGTGTTCATGTTGTATTTTTGTTGCTGAGCAGATCTAAATTAGCATGAAATAATAGCCTCTAGAAATACTAAAAAGTCATAAACAATCTACTTTTTTTTTTCTAACTGAGTGTATGAAAATAAAAAACAAAATGTTGAATGATCCTGTCCTACGCAACAAGACTCCAGTCTTGCAGTTCAATCCGTTTGCATGAAGAACTTGCACTGTGGAGCTCAGTAGCTTTCATTTGGTCTCGGTGTGAATGGAGAGTAGGTTGCAAGCTGTAGTCCCCTGTTTCAGCACAGGTGATCTAGTTGAAGCAATAATTTGGTGGTACGTGAAACTAGTTTGCTTGTGAAATGTCTTCTCCTGATTTAGATTACCTTCTATGTGAGGGGAAATTAAACATTTCAGTTACCGTAATGTTTCATCTGATTCTTACGTCCTATCCTTGCAAGCAGTAAAATCCCCCCAAATTCCTCACAGATTCATGTAATCTCTGTTGCTTAACTTAAATATGGAAAGCATACTTGAATCCCAGCATTTGCACTGTTACGCCAGCACAAAACTGATGCACACAATTTGAGTTTGTGGCCAAGGAGCTTGCATTTGTACTGCACATTTGTTAACAAATATTTCTGTAATTTTTTTTATTAAATGCTATGAACATTTGTAACTTGCAGTGTATATAGTTTGTCAGCATTATACACTAAAGCACTGTGAGATGCATGTATTCTGTCACTAAAGAAGGTGCTCTACAACACTTAAGAATTTCTGAACCAAAGCTACATTAATACAGATAAAAAATCATCTAACTGATTTTCTTTTTACATACATTTGCTATCTCAGCAGGATAGTGAGTACACTGCACATCATTTCTTTTTCTAAAGATTTACAAAGCAGTTCATCTCATTCAATCTAACGTGCACTTTTTGTTAACCTGATGAATGCTCCACACAACAGTTGATGCTGATGGCTTCCATTTAATGTCAAAAAAAAAGACTAGGTGCTTGTTAATAATGAGATCTTATAGTTTACTGCTCTTCAGTAAATCTGAAGTGTACTAACAGTGAAGATTGTATATAAACAGACTTTTAAAAGTGAAGCAATATGAAGCAATTGAAACTTGAGACTTTTTATAAAGAGTGTTCTGCTAACTGACATATTAGCTGTCATAAACTTTAGGAATAGTATGGTTACCAAGAGTGTTCTGGCTAGGTGTTACAACTAAAGATAATTTACAGATTACCTTAACAGATCTGGTTATATAAATCAGTAAGTAGTTGGGGTAATATGCACATAAACAAACATAAGTTTAATCTGTGTAGCAAACAGAGGGTACAATTCTAAAATTTTTTTTAATGGAAAAATCGCATGTGAAAAATCGTGTACTCGGAATGACCCCTTGCCCTGCAAGGCTTTGTGTTCTGCAGCGCGTGTGTATGTATGCAAGCATGTATATTATGACACACATGACAGCTCTGCTTTTTCCTGAAAATAAAGCACAGTATGAAAACTATCACACTATCAGTTAAAAATTAAAACCAACACTTTTGCACTGTGTTTACACCTTCAGTCTTCTTATTTCTATTAACCTCTCATATTTCCTTTACTGGTACAATACCAAGTTGAATGAACTTTGATATCAGTAAAGAAGAAATTACTGGACCTGAATTACCACAAATGTATTTTAAGACTCCCCTTATGAAGACTTATGCTGGTCTTGTAATTCTTACAAGCATGTTACTCAGGTGTGCAAGTCTTTTGGTACTAGGGTCTTTCAGGATGGGATGAGCGTGAGACTTGATTTTTCCCTGTGCATCCTGTAGATCTTGTATTCTGCTGTGATTGAAGGGTAGACTCCCATGTCCAGTGCTACTACAACCACCCACTCCCCCACAGAAACTTTTCCACACATTTCCTGTTCTAATAACATATACCTGCTTTCCCCTTGACAGTACAGAGTTTTGTTCTCATATGTTTGGTTTGGAAGCATACATAGTTGCATTTAACTGCCCATTCCACAAAGAAGTATCAGAATTGCAATTTAAAAGAAGGCTAAACTGGAAAGTGTTGTATGATACTATGGCCTTTGTGTTTCTGTGCTTGTGAGCCCGAAACTGCTTCCTTGACAGTGTTAACACATTTTACTTGTTACATGTTATGCTGCGTCTACTGTAGAAGCACAGAAGTGTACTGGAGTTATTTTAATAAATTAAACTGTTTGCTAATGTGACATCTGATAAATTCTTCTAGTTTTGTTTTTCTTTTTTTCATAACCTGCTAATATTCTTTCCGTATTTTTGTACATTTCCAGATAGTTTCTAAAATTAAAATGTGGAAAGCTCCATTTATAGGTATAGAAAGAAGCTTCAGACCGAGAAGAATCTCTGTACCAGTTTGTGCAGTGAATGTTGGTGACTGACAGCATCCTGTCTACCTTCCGTAGGGTATCACTGGTGGAGGCAGAGGCAATTTCTATTATGTCATGAGAGTAACTTAGACTGACATGAGCAGTTAACAGACTAAGAAAAGATTCAAGTGAAGGGAGCAACTGAGGTCTACTCTTTTAACTCAGTGAACTGTTGAGGAAAATGGTATGAGCTTTACTACTAGGAATATGTCTTGGCTAAAGCGCAGTGGGGAGCATTCCCTTAGAGAGAGAGACTAAATGACTCTTTATGCAGAATCAGCCAAAGCCCTCTAATGTGTGAAGACGTTCAGAATTTGTTATCAAATATGAGTGCAGGCTACAGCAGATTTCATCTCTTGTTGTTTGAAGATCTGGAGACCTTGTTGTCCCGTTTTCATTAGAGTTCCGTATGCATCTTGTGCTTCCCAAATTTTCTAATAGCAAATTGTTAATTTACTTCTGGCTCTTGCTGTAACTGAGTTTGCATTTTTAAAGGTATTCTCTTATTTTATTGCTAAATGCAGGATGTTTGCTTTTAAAGATTGGAGCAGTTTGAGCAGGGATATACTCCTCTCAAAACATAAAAGTCCATCTCTAAGTTGAGCCTTCCTGTGAGATACGGTGGCCAAGATACCAAGCCACTCATTTTATTGGTGGGGAAATATTAGACCTTGTTAAAGATGTAAGCTCCTTTCCTGGAGCAGAGCCATTTAAAAATATGGTAGAAGTGACATCATGACTCCTGTCTCTCTCTCTCTTTTTCTCTTTCTCTGTTTTTTCTTCTTTTTTAATTCCATTTTGCTTCTGTGATTTCCCATCCACTCAAGTCTTTTGTTATATGGCTTCCTTTTGCCATATGCCATTTCTTTTGCAAAAATCCGCGGCTGCTCCCTGATTCTGCAGATTACCCCCTTCACATGACAATTTCAAGATGACGTGGTGAGCACTAAGTATTTGTCAGCTATTCTTACAGCATCTGGCAATGTGAATCAACTAGAGTGGGACTTTAATATAATAAAGCCTGCATAGATGATCCCTAAATGCAGAAGGAGAGATGCTAGTTTACCCTTCAAAAAACGAGAAACTTTTAATCAACTGATATTTTGAGAGCCTTCTAGCAATGTTCACATGCAAATAAGGCTCAGAATTAATTGTCAACTCTAGGCTGAGGTAGGAAACTAAAATTCAATTATTGTCAATAGCTTGAATAAAACCCAACTTTTATTGGTGATGACCTTCCATATTATTCCTTGTGGAAATGTCTTCCTATTTCTCAGTCTTTTAAAATCCCGAATGTCAAATTAAGCACTTTATCTCCTGTTTTTGTTTAATTCAGTTTTCTGGTAATAAAAGCGTGTCAGGCTCACTTAGAAGGATCACTTGATTTGAGCTGTCTGCCTTGTTCTTTCATATGGCACAGGGAGTTTTCAGCAGCCCTCTCTTTTCAAGGTAAGACCCGCATTGATCTGATTTATTACTTGGAATGTGTTCAGACTTTTCATAATGTCTGTTACGCTTTGCATCTGCTAGGTGAGGGATGAGATGTATTGTGTCCTTATTTAATTTCGCTCTAAGATGGCTCATCAATTAGTGTAAACATCCATAAAGTATCATAGCTGATTCCGTGATAAGAATGAGGAACTTTATAACTCATGTGAGCTTGAGGTCAGACTTGAGTGATTATAGAGCAGAAGAGACTTAGGGATTTCACTGTGAGACAGAAACGATAGTTACAGAAACAAAGCCCATGTAATTATTTGTATAATTACAAACTATGCAAATATATGTGTATGTAATTATGTAATAAAAAACTTAAAGTACATATGGAATACTTGCTATAAGTAATTCACATAAAAAGGAAGTTCTCTAGCAGACCAATAATATTGGTTCTTAAACTTCCAATCTCTAGGTCTCAGATGCTGCTCAATGCAAGAATCTTTTGCAAGTAAGGAAACTGAGACTTGGAGATCAGATGACATGTCTGAGGGCAGGCATGGATGTGTTCATTGACACCTATGAACTGAGTTTTTCAGCTCCTGATTTGCATGTCACCTCTGATGCTATCTCCAATTT